GTGTGATGATCATGATAGATATGGGCATAAAATTTTGTCCAGTCATGTGATGACTCACTTAACAATTGTCTTGCTCTGCAATGGAAATTCTGGTCTCAATTGTGACATAAGTTGAGGGTTACCTGTACTCAATGTGTATCTGTTTCCCACATCTACTTGGTTGGAAACCTTGATTAATTTTTGGCAATTGATTAATTATGCTCAAATGAGGCTCCTTGTGGGAGAACAGAATTATGACTCCCACAATCAAAAATTTTCTGGAGGAACCTGCTTGCAAAAGATTAGGGAAGAAAGTCACTAATCAAATCCTTCATTTAAGACAGTTTAGTTTTCCAAGGCATCCTTGCGCAGGGAAGCATAACCACAAGGTTGTTACATACATTCATATGAACCACAGAGAACCTCTTTATCCCCTTCATTTGTAGCTGTCAAAACTCTCTAGCTTTTAACAAACACGGTGATGAGTTAACATTGCAGCATTCTCTAATATTGCCTTCAAAAAAACATTTCTTCCCCTCAAGCGTAGTATTATTTATTGCTTGCCTCAACATTTGACACTTGTTTTTCATCTGTGTGAACTTTTGGAGGTGCTGCAGAAATAGAGGCCTTCTATTGCTTGTGGTTGGCATATTTGATTTATTTCCAAGATGAAGGAGCCTGATAAATTGTGTAGCTATAGAGATGCACAATCACATTGCTGCACCATACAACTTGAAAAGAAATGTTGTAGGTTAATTAATAGCAAATGAAGACAATTTCATGAGACAAGGGTGGCCCTGAATTATAGCAGATCTACAATTCAGCAATAATCATTTCATAATAGCTTGTGAAGAGAAAGAGGGAAAGGAAACTGTGATGGCCCAACCAAGGATAAGCCAGCACTGAAGAATAAGCCAAAACTAAGTGACAAACTGGGATACAGAGTTGAAGAAGAAGTCAAACACCAAGAACATGGAATGTACTACAGATGCTCCTTGACTAATAACATTCTGTTTAGTGACCGTTTGAATTTACAATTGCGTTGAAAAAAGTGACTTATGATTTTTCACACTAACAACCGTCACAGCATGCCCATGGTCACATGATCAAAATTTGAACATTTGACAATGGACTTCTATATATGACGGTTGCAGTGTCTCAGGGTCATGTGATCACCTTTTGCAACTTTCTGACAAGTCAAATCAATGGGGAAGCCAGATTTGTTTAACAACCATGTTACTAAGTTAACAATTGCAATGATACACTTAATAACTGTGGAAAGAAAGGTTGTAAAGTGGGAAAAAGCTCAGTTAACAAATGTCTCACTTAGCATCATAAATTTTGGGCTCAATTGTGGTTGTAAGTCAAGGGCTACTTGCATAGAGTTGAAGAGGAAGTCAAATAAACATCAAGACCAAATTATGGAATATACAACTCAGAAAAACGTATATTTCAAAGAAGGAACAACTTTCATACTAATCCTTGCCCCAGAAGGGATAAACAGTTAGAAAAAAAAATCCATGGAAGATTATTTCAATATGTGATTACTGTGGTAAGATTACTATATGCACAGAGATGGAAAGATTTGACTCTATGCTCTATGGAGGAATAGTTGGTGAACTTGACAGATTTTGCTGAAATAGATAAATTGTCTTCTTTGATTTAAGAAAAGACATTATCTACATTTTGGGGCAATTCATCTGGACTTTTTGTATAAAAATGAACAAAATGAAGTTGTGATTTTTGGCTCTGAAGATTGGATAAGATAGATTATAAAAAGGAGAGTAATATGATGTAACTTTAGAGAGTTTTGTACTTAAAACTGCTGTGAAGAATATCCAAAACTACTTCTTTATATCTTTTTTCTATTTTTCTTCAATATTTTCCTCTTTCTTATAGGTTATGCTTTTTCTTTGATTTCTTTTTTGTCATCCTTACTTTGCATTAGTTTGCACTGATTTAATTTTTTTTTAAAAAAGTTTTAATTTATAAATATATATAAAAACATCCTTGTCCAGGGAAGCCCTATCTGAAGTTCAGTGAGAAAAAGCCACCTACAGTTCAAGCAGCTCACCACAAGATAGTGCTGAAACAGGAACTCATTTTAATTTAATTTAGTTTTATTATCCTATATAGAATATAATGGGCTGCTTGGCTGGCAGCTACTTACTACAGTGTGCCCTGTGGAATTCTCACCTACCAGCAATTAAAAACAAACAAAAAATAATCATAATGTTGCAACTTGGGGTGTACTTCTATGACCTATTCCACAAACAAGCAACTGGTGTGGCTTTCTAGAATAATAAACAGAGTAGTGGGTAAGCCACTGCTGAATGAAAAATCTTCATCAGGATCCAGTCCAATCTGGGAATAAACAAAATGGAGACTGCTTTAGAAAGAAGGTTGGAGTTTATTGAAGGGCAGAGCAGACAGAAGCATGGCTTCTTGAGCTTTTGTTTGGAGTTGTTCCCGTGGCATGAACTTTGAACTGAGTCTGAATGTGCCTTTCTAGTATTTTGATGGTGGTGTGTTAATCCTATTATATCTCAAAGGTCATATCCTGCTTCCCTGGGTCTGTGGTTGATGACTATGTCCTGTGTTGGATTTTTTGGTGTGAGGAATTGTTGATTCTAGGGATCTTTGTCTTTCTAATCCCATCAGTTCTAAGTTTCCAGGTGCTAGTCTTTCTGAAAGGATTATGATATCTGCATTTCTACAGAGCTGGTTTCTGCTTGGGGGGAGGGAGACTTGGGGCTATTAAGAAAAATTGGGCATGCTTTTCTGCCTTTTTAAGATCCTTTGAGGAAATATAATATTCTGCCTTTTCAATATTTCCTTCTCGGGGGGGGGGGCTGACTTCCCACACCACCATTGTGGCAATATGGAGAAATTGAGAGGGCAACAACAATATTTGTTTTCTGTAGATGATGAATCCACTTGAGCTTCCCTGCTCTTTCTTGCCTTTAAGTAAGTACATCCACTAAAATTTAGTACGAATTAGAATTACACTGTGAGTCATTTTAAATGAACTCTGTAACTCTGGATTTCAAACTAGTATTCACTTATTTCATGCTGGCTGGGGAAATCTGGGAGTTGAAGTCTACACATCTTAAAGTTGCCACAGTTGAAAAACAACAATTTCTTATGTTTATCTCCCTGCTCCCTCTTTTCTCAGGCAATTCTGAATGAATAACCACAGAATTCATGAAATAAATTCCAAGCACATTTTAAACCCTCCTAATAGAAACAAAACAAATAGAAACAGCAGAAAACCAAATTCTTTAAATGCATAGATAAGAGTCATTTCTTTCACTGCTGCAAATAAAACTAGTGTTACTAAAAGGCACCCTCGTCATGCAACACAAGTCATACCAAGATTTCCTTAATGAGATCTGATTTATGTCACCTAGCATCAACTGAAGACCATCCCTTTCTATCTATATGATCTTTTCATCCATTTTTCTAAACTTTGCTTTCAGATTTACCCAACCCAAGGAAAACCTTTGATGAAATTCTCAAATTGAAGGCACAGAGTTCTCACATTGAACCTCAATTATAAAATAAAACAGACAAGAGTGGTGTATGAGAATGTCCTATGTTGGACATTTATCTTTCCATTAGTCTGCAGTTATCTCTAATGTACAATGTTCTCAGTAAAACCAAGGAAAAGATAGCAAGAGCAGGGATCTTCAAACTTGGCAACTTTAAAACTTGTGGATTTCAACTCCCAGAATTCCCATGATATGGCTGGCTAGGAATGAAAAGGGGCCACGTTTGGACTGCCCTGCCATAGACTGTCATTTCCTTTACATCTCCTAACACATATTCAATAGCAACTTGCAACCTACAATACAATACAATACAATAACAGAGTTGGAAAGGACCTTGGGGGTCCTCTAGTCCAACCCTCTGCTCAGGCAGGAAACCCTGAACCAGTGATGGCGAACCTTTTAGAGACCGAGTGCCCAAACTGCAACCCAAAACCCACTTATGTATTGTTGGGTGCCGGGTGGGTGGGGCCCATTGGGTGGGCAGGGTCTATTAGGTGGCCATGGCTGCGGTAGTAATGGCAGACTGTGTGGGACTAAAAAGTTCAATCAATCAATTCCAACTTTGCGAGATCTTTTTTTTTTCCCATGAGAAGTTGAAATTGATTGAACCTTTTTTTTTTTTTTTGCACATGGCGGTGGAGGCCTAAAGCAAAAAGGTTTTATAAAACCCAGCTGAATGCCTAGGACTGGCCGACAGTGCGCATGCCCATAGAGAGGGCTCTGCATGCCACCTTTGGTACACGTGCCATAGGTTCGCCACCACAGCCCTATACCATTTCAGACAAATGGTTGTCCAATCTCTTCTTTAAAACTTCCAGTGTTGGAGCATTCTCAACTTCTGGAGGCAAGTCATTCCACTAATTAATTGTTCTAACTGTAAGGAAATTCCTCCTTAATTGTAGGTTGCTGCTCTCCTTGATTAGTTTCCATCCATTGCTTCTTGTCCTGCCCTCAGGTGCTTTGGAGAATAGCTTGACTCCCTCTTCTTTGTGGCAGCCCCTGAGTTATTGGAACACTGCTATCATGTCACCCCTAGTCCTTCTCTTCATTAAACTAGAGATATCCAATTCCAGCAACCCTTCTTTATATGTTTTACCTCCAGTCCCCTGATAATTTTTGTTGCTCTTCTCTGTACTCTTTCTAGAGTCTCAACATCTTTTGGTGACCAAAACTGGATGCAGTATTCCAAGTGTGGCTTTACCAAGGCATTATAAAGTGGTATTAACACCTCATGTGACCTGCACAGCATGTCCTTATCTCTTCAACTGTAGCACATTTGAGTAAACAGAAGAGAAAGACAGCGTAGAAGCCACAATGACATCATGGGAATCACAGTCTCAGTACAGAAATAATGCAAAGTACAAACTTCATGTCATTTAGTGATAACATGGCTTGTAGAAGAAGTCTTCAAGGCAATCACATGTCCATTAACTGTGGCTTAAATATATATTAAAACACCTTGCCACTAACCTGCCAGAATATGCTGTCAATTGTATTGCCCAAAAAGCCATCCCGCCCTTCTGAGGATACCAGTTTAGGCCCAAGGATCGTCATGAATTCATCAAAATCAACTTGACCATCTCCTAGAAAGGAAGGGGAGAGAGAAACTGGTGTAAGAATAAGAAAAAAAATGGAAGCATAGAATTCTAAGAAATGACACTGAAGCTTCATCAGCCATCTTGGAGAATTCTGGCATTAACTGTACCAAGAGTTATTTGGTTGCAGGAGAAGATCCTTTTATTCATGTATTTTCTTCCAGATAAAAAAGATTACAGCAAAATACAAGACATAGATGAAAATCATAGTTAAGTAAAACACACTCAGGAAAAAAAAAGACAACAAAGTACAGCAAATCAAACTGAAGCCAATTAAAATAAATCTATGAAAGCAAGAAATAAAGAAAACAGACAATTCAGCTAAACTGATCAAAGACTGAGCTCAACTTGTGAATATTTATGGAGGAAGTTTCCAACAGGGCGGCTACTTACCCACTACCACAAATGTATTGTTGATTTGTGGAAAGTGTTAGGGAATAGACAGCTTGGTGCTTCATGGCTAGCTTTCTTTTTAAAGACAGGTTTAATTAAAAGGAAGGAAATAGAGGGAAACTGGAGAACAAAGCACCAAGCGCCTTTATTCAGAACAGATCACTGGTCTCATCTTATTAGAAAATAAACAAGGTCAAAGGACTTTTTCTGCTGCTTAGTTTAGAAGCATTTTCATTTAACTGGAAGAAAAAGGAAAAGAAGCTAAGGAAACTCATGGCATTTTATTTCTGCCCAGTGGATGTTTTAGGGCTACCAGATTGGGGATATCCAAAACGATCACCAGATAGCTACAAAACTCTTAACTCCAGAAGTTGTCCGAATCCAAAGCACCTGAGGGCAGGGCAAGAAGCAATGGATGGGAACTAATCAAGGACAGAAGCAACCTAGAACTAAGGAAAATTTTCCTGACAGTTAGAACAATTAAACAGTGGAACAACTTGCCTCCAGAAGTTGTGAAAGCTCCAACATTGGAAGTTTTTAAGAAGACATTGGTCAATCATTTGTCTGAATGGTATAAGGTTTCCTGCCAGAGCAGGGGGTTGGACTAGAAGACCTCCAAGGTCCCTTCCAACTCTGTTCTTCTATTCTATCCCTGCAGCCCAGATACCAGAGCTCTAGTGTTTTTTGAGTGGTCACACCTCATCATGGCAACCATTTTATGCACCAGCAAGCTTCCACAGCATATTTAGTAACTGGTCAGGAGAGAGTCTCAAAAAACCATTTTGGCCAATGGATCCCTTGTGTTTGCCTACCTCTGACATTTAATCTTTGAGATAGACTGATGGCCTATTTATTTATTTATTTACACACCACCCATCTCATGTAGTGACACTGGGAGACTTACAATAAAATAAAAGCAAGAATACAAAAACATTATACTGTTACAAATATTGCAAATATTAGAATTAACACAGATTGGAGTGGAATAGGAACCAGTACATGAACAGGATGGAGGTGGGATCTTCTTTCTTAGTTTACTGACCAGCTCCATTGGGGAACGCCCCATTGGGGCCCCAGGCCAGTTGGCAGAGCCAAATTTTGAGGTTCTTTTAGAAGGCCAGAAAGATCAGAGCTGATTCACCTCCAGTGGCATGATGTTCCAGAGGGGGAGGCCACAGCAGAAAAGGCTCTTCTCCTGGACCTCACCACCTACTGTTCTTTTACCAAGAGCAGGCCCCTTCTGCTGGAACGAGAGGAGTGGGCCAATCCCATTGGGGTGAAATGGTTCTTCAGACAACCATGACAACCTTTAAAGGTGATAACCAACACCTTGAACCGGACCCAGAAGCAAAGCTTCAACCAGTTGCATAATCAAAGGGTTGCTATGCTCAAACCTTCACCGAGATGCAGCACTCATTTGAAAAGCTGCACAGCCCTAACTTTTTATTTCTATCTTACCTCTCAATTCAGTCTGAGCATTTCAGGCAGCTAGCAAGCAGGCAATAAATAAAAGCAAAATAAAATTTAAATTGCAAACATTGAAATCAAAGCAAACTCAGCTATTAAAAACCTGGCAAAAGAGATGCTCCTACGCTGCTCTTCTTAAGGGATAGAAAATAAGGGCCAAACACATGTTCTGGCTGAGAAATTCTGGGATTTGGGAGTTCACAAGTCGTAAAGTTGCCAAGGTTGGAGACCCCTGTTCTAAAGGATGCATTGGATGGTTTGGAAGTGAAGCAGGAGAAGGCATCTCATTCACACTCCAAAAATAAGCCATCTTCTAATAATAGCTTCATCTTCATCAGAAGGGTCTGTCCAGCAGTTTTTACTAGCCAAGTAGTTCATAAAAGAGGAAGATGTTCAGAAGATGGTCAGGCACTAAGCCAGGCCCCCAAGATTAATATCAAGATTTTAATTTGGACTTTATAAATGTATCTACCGCAATAAAATGGGGGTGGGAGCAGGGAGGAAAATGTCTTCAAATGAGAAATACATCATGATTCTTTTTAATGCAGCAATTTATACTCACGCCTTTGTCAATGGACATACTGCCAAGACCATATAAAGACCATATAATAGCAATAGCATTTAGGCATATTTACAGCAGAGGTCCCCAACCTTTTGGGCACCAGGGACTGGTTTTGTGAACAGAGGTTTTTCCACAGACCAGAGGGTGTGTGGTTTTGTGTGCTGCCTGCATCTTGTGGATGGGACTTTGCTTGTTTGTGCAGACTGGTTGCTGGCATGCCACGGCCCGGTACTGGTCCATGGATCAGGGGTTGGGGACCCTTGCTTTACAGCACTCTCTGGGCAGTTTACAATGTATTTGCATATTGCCCCCCCACGACCAGGGTCTTCAGTTTACCTGCCTTCTGGATGGAAGGGTGAGTCAACCTTGAACCCCATCAGGATCAAACTCCAGGCAGTGGGGAGAGTTTGTCTGCAACTACATTCTAAGCACTGCACCATAAGAGCTCCATTATACAACATCAAATGATATTTGACAAGGTGAAGGGCACTCTTTACCTTTCAGCCATTTTTTGTCTTCCTTTTATTGTATGACGTTTGTTGTTGTTGCTGTTAATTGCGAAGTCGTGTCCGACCGATCGCGACCCCATGGACAACGTTCCTCCAGGTCTTCCTGTCCTCTACCATCTTCTGGAGTCCATTTAAGTTCTCACCTACTGCTTCAGTGACTCCATCCAGCCATCTCATACTCTGTCATCCCATTCTTCTATTGCCCTCAATCTTTCCAGTGAGTCCTTCCTTCTCATTAGGTGGCCAAAGTATTTGAGTTTCAACTTCAGGATCTGGTCTTCTAAAGAGCAGTCAGGGTTGATCTCTTCTAGGACTGACCGGTTTGAACGCCTTGCAGTCCAAGGGACTCGCAGGAGTCTTCTCCAGCACCATAGTTCAAAGGCTTCAATTCTTTTGCACTCTGCCTTTCTTATGGTCCAGCTTTCATAGTCATACATTGCAACTGGGAAAACCATGGCCTGGACTATACGCACTTTTGTTGGCAGGGTGATGTCTCTGCTTTTTAGTATGCTGTCTAGATTTGCCATAGCTTTCCTCCCCAGGAGCAAGAGTCTTTTAATTTCTTGGCTGCAGTCCCCATCTGAGGTGATCTTTGAGCCCAGAAAAATAAAATCTGTCACTATCTCCATTTCTTCCCCATCTATTTGCCAGAAATTGAGAGGGCCGGATGCCATGATTTTGGTTTTCTTAATGTTGAGTTTCAAGCCAACTTTTGCATTCTCCTTCTTCACCCGCATCAAGAGGCTCTTTAATTCTTCTTCACTTTCTGCCATTAGAGTGGTATCATCTGCATATCTTAGGTTGTTGATGTTTCTCCCGGCAATCTTAATTCCAACTTTTGATTCATCTAGCCCTGCCTTTTTCATGATGTGCTCTGCATATAAGTTAAATAGGCAGGGCGACAGTATACAGCCTTGCCGGACTCCTTTTCCAATTTTGAACCAATCCGTGGTTCCGTGTCCAGTTCTCACTGTTGCTTCTTGACCCGCATATAGGTTTCTCAAGAGACAAATGAGATGGTCTGGTACTCCCATCTCTTTAAGAACTTGCCACAATTTGTTGTGATCCCCACAATCAAAGGCTTTTGCATAGTCAATGAAGCAGAAGTAGATGTTTTTCTGGAACTCCCTAGCTTTCTCCATGATCCAGCGTATGTTGGCAATTTGATCTCTAGTTCCTCTGCCTCTTCGAAATCCTGCCTGTACTTCTGGTAGTTCTCGATCCACATACTGCTGGAGTCTAGCTTGTAGATTTTAAGCATAACTTTACTAGCATGTGAAATGAGTGCAATGGTGCGATAGTTTGAACATTCTTTGGCATTGCCTTTCTTTGGAATTGGAATGTAAACTGACTTTTTCCAATCCTGTGGCCACTGTTGAGTTTTCCAAATGTGCTGGCAAATTGAGTGTAGCACTTTTACTACATCGTCTTTTAAAATTTTGAATAGCTCAGCTGGAATACTGTCACCTCCACTAGCTTTGTTGTTGCTCAGATTTTCTAAGGCCCATTTCACTTCACATTCTAGGATGTCTGGTTCGAGGTCAGTGACCATCTCATTGTGGTTATCTGGGACGTTAAGATCATTCTTGTATAGTTCTTCTGTGTAGTTTTGCCATCTCTTCTTAATCTCTTCTGCCTCTGTTAGGTCTCTGCCATTTTGGTCCTTTATCATGCCCATCTTTGCATGAAACTTTCCCTTCATATCTCCAATTTTCTTGAAGAGATCTCTGGTCCTCCCTATTCTGTTGTTTTCTTCTATTTCTTTGCACTGTTCATTTAAAAAGGCATTCTTATCTCTTCTAGCTATTCTCTGGAATTCTGCATTCAATTGGGTGTATTTTTCTCTTTCTCCTTTGCCTTTCACTTCCCTTCTTTCCTCAGCTATTTGCAAAGCTTCCTCAGACAGCCACTTTGCTTTCTTGCATTTCTTTTTCTTTGGGATGGTTTTAGTTGCTACCTCTTGTACAATGTTGCGAACTTCCATCTATAGTTTTTCAGGCACTCTATCAGATCTAAAGTTTGCATTAGTTTGACGTGAACTGTATTGAATAGGGCTG